TTGACGTGTGACTTTTGGAGGAAGTCTCGTACGAAACGCCCGTTTTTGAGACTTGACGCGTGACTTTTGGAGGAAGTCTCGTACGAAACGCTCGTCTTGCAGTCTCGCAGCGTGACTTTTGGAGGAAGTCTCGTACGAAGAGTGTGCCCTACAGGAGTGTCCCACAAGAGTGTCCTACAAGAGTGTCCCACAAGAGTGTCCTACAAGAGTATCCCACAAGAGTTTCCTACAAGAGTGTCCCACAAGAGTGTCCCACAAGAGTGTCCCGTATGAGTGTCCCACAAGAGTGTCCCACAAGAGTGTCCCGCATGTCCCACAAGAGTGTCCCACAAGAGTGTCCTACAAGAGTGTCCCACAAGAGTGTCCCGTATGAGTGTCCCACAAGAGTGTCCCACAAGAGTGTCCCACACGTGTGTCCCACAAGAGTGTCCGACAAGAGTGTCCCATAAGAGTGACCCACAAGAGTGTCCTACAAGAGTGTGCAACAAGAGTGCCCCGTAAGAGTGTCCCACAAGAGTGTCCTACAAGAGTGTCCCACAAGAGTGTCATAAGAGTGTTCCACAAGAGTGTCCCACAAGAGTGTCCCACAAGAGTGTCCCACAAGAGTGCCCTACAAGAGTGTCCCACAAGAGTGTCCTACAAGAGTGTCCCACAAGAGTGTCCTACAAGAGTATCCCACAAGGGTTTCCTACAAGAGTGTCCTGTAAGAGTGTCCCACAAGAGTGTCCCGCAAGAGTGTCCCAAATGAGTGTCCCACAGGAGTGTCCCACAAGAGTGTCCCGCAACAGTGTCCCGCAAGAGTGTCTCACAAGAGTGTCCCTTAAGAGTGTCCCACAAGAGTGTCCCACAAGAGTGTCCCGCAAGACTGTCCCAAATGAGTGTCCCACAAGAGTGTCCTACAAGAGTGTCCCGCAACAGTGTCCCGCAAGAGTGTCCCACACGTGTGTCCCACAAGAGTGTCCCACAAGAGTGTCCCGCAACAGTGTCCCACAAGAGTGTGTCCCACAAGAGTGTCCCACAAGAGTATCCCACAAGAGTGTCCTCTAAGAGTGTCCCACAAGAGTGTCCCACAAGAGTTTCCTACAAGAGTGCCCCACAAGA